AAAAAAAAACATATGCTCTGGTTGAAATTCAATACAAGCCTTTTCTTTAGTTTGATCTTGAAATGATCTTGAATTGACTTGAAGGTGACCGGTTACACTATCTCCAGATTCAGATTCTGTGAGCCCAAAAACCTATACACTCACTGGTCAAAATTCAATACGTCTTTTCTTCAGTTTGGCCTTGAAACGACCTTTACCTGACCTCCATTTGACCATGTTCTGAATTATTTATTGTGTTCTATTCGTGGTTAAAGTTTGATTCACTCGAACTGAAACACCCTGTATATTGTCCAAAATATGCATTTGTCTAAAATTGTCTTCTGATTATTGTCCACAATCCACAATCGTTTACATGTCTATTCATTAAAAATAAGAGATTAATTTATTTTAGAATATTAGAGGTTTATAGCTGTTTTTCATGTTGGAGCAGACACAGGGTGGGCTTGCCCTACAATCCATAATTAGATTTATTCACTAAATTATGACTAGCCTCTATCTTGGATAATTCTAATCATAGGCCTGAGTACGTTTTGAATAATTTTAAAAATTTTTAGTGTTTCCCTACGAAACAATCTAAATTTTAGATCTCATGGGAAATTTTGTGATCAAAAAATATATCATCGTTATGCCCTCTTTAAAGGGCAGAATTCGATAAACTACACCAAACCACATAATCTGGTTAAAAACAGCCGTCTTATTTCATACAGAATTATGATTGTCCCCGGGTAAAATTAAAAATAATTATTGTAATTCTTAAATAAAAAAGGGCAAAAGACAGTTTTTTAACTCTACTGAACAATTTCATAAAATACACATGTCGCATTTTGAAGGGGCAATGACGATATCCTATTAAAAATAGTCATGAAAGCTTCTTTATTGTAACACAACAGACACTTTTTCAAAAGACATGTATGCCCTAGCGTTTAGTAAAGATTGGTCAATCGAATATTGTCTCGAATGAGACTAAAATCGGATCAATCGGTTGAAAATTCGATTTTTAATTAGTCTAAAAGTTGTGGTTTTTGTGTTAATAAAAATTATTAAAGATTTATTTCCTTGATTACCCTATTTAAATTTCTTTGTACACCCCTGATTTTCCAGGATTGTTAAAAACTTTCAAAACTTAAAAATCTAATTTTCAACTAGCTGAGCTGCCTTATCTCATTCAGCACAAAAGGACCCCACACAAATCTTATGGGAAATGGCTCCCAGTTAAATTGGATGAATTTTTTATATGTTACGTATCACAAGCAGGCTAACCCACATAACCCTGGGAACAGCGAGTTTAGTCACTTATTTTTCTTGAAATAATTAAATTCCATACCACAAGCATGCTAACCCGCCTACTCCCTATCCCACCTAAAGCCTAGAAACCACCCCTACCAAACCACATGCAGGCTAACCCACATAACCCTGGGAACAACGAGTTTAGTCGCTTATTTTTCTTGAAATAATTATATTCTGCACCACAAGCGGACTAACCCGCCTACCCCCTAATCCACCTAATCCCTAGAAACCACCCCTGCCAATCCACAATCAAGCTAACCCACGTAAACACGGGAACAGCGAGTTTAGTCGCTTATTTTTCTTGAAATAATGAAATTCCACACCACAAACATGCTAACCCGCCGACTCCCTTCCCTCCAAACCAATCGAGCACTTGAAAAATAGGAGAAACGTCAACAAGGAGACGACTAACCTGGCGCAGAGCATTCATACCTCTTTCGAAAGGATGAAACGGGGTTTGGTAGGGGTGGTTTCTAAAGGCTATGTGGATTAAGGGGTAAGCGGGTTAGCCCGCTTTGTGGTGTGGAAGTTAATTATTTCAAGAAAAATAAGTGACTAAACTCGCTGTTCCCAGGGTTAGGTAGGTTAGCCTGCTTGTGGTTTGGTAGGGGTGGTTTTTAGGGGTTAAGTGGGTTTATCTCGGAACCCGTGGAGTTTTGGGCTTTATGCCCATGAAGATATTTGTTCAGGACGCCGAGATACTAACATATAAAAAATTCAACCAATTTAACCGGGACCCATCTCCCATAAGGTTTTTGCGGGGTCCTTTAATTATTCACAAGCATGGGTGTAGCTAGGATTTTTGCTTGGGATGGGCCCAGGGCTGCTGCAAGCTTTAGGGAAGGCTCAAAAAAGAAGAAACGACACACGCAATCAACGACTTACCGATATATTTCAAAACCTAAGCAATTGATTCCAAAAAAAAAGGTGGCAAACGACTTACCGATATGAGAAAGATGATATTGGATCTTGGATCTTTTTTTCTGGGGTGTGCCCATGTTCACAAGATTTACTAGGAACTGCTTCTGGAAAAAAAAAGAATTATTTTGGCGCAGTCTAGATCATCATAGAATTCTAGATGCATACCTAACATACTGCTTTTAAAGAGTCCAATAAATTTAAAAAAATAGGTACTATAATTCTTAGTCAATACCAGTATTTTCTTATGATAGTCCTTTCACACTAATGAAAGATTAGATAACAAAGACGCAATATTTAAATGATTTTTCAGCTTGTTGTGCTGTAGTCTATGTACCTATTCACCGTCAATTACAAACTTATATGGCACTTGTTTAGCTAGGAATCTTTAATCTACCCTTATTGTTCTCGGGCTAGGCTCTGTGGGGGCGGACCCTCTGTCAGAACCCGTAGGCCCGCCCTGATCATTTCAGTTCTTGTTAGCCGCTACGGACGGAACCGTATCTCAGATAATATTGGTCCTCTGAGACGTTCTGTAGTGGTCTCTATAACTGGTGGCATTCAGTGTTTCCAAACGTTTCGCCGTTCTTCATTGTCGCCATCTTCAGTGGTGAGTCGGCAAAAGTTTCGCCGCGACTGATCAAGGCGGGCCTGCGGGTACTGATAGTCGGTTCGCGACTACAAAACCTAGCCCGAGAGCTATAAGGGCAGGTCAAAGATTTCTAGCTAAGGCTAAGGAAGTGCAATGTAAGTTTCTATAGTAGGATCGTATTCGATGCAAAGTAGAGCAAAAAATTGTCGGTCTTTTATCAAAGGTAAATCGTCTCATCATTTTTAGGAGGCGTAAGATGAACCATTTAAAATTTAAAATGAAATTGAATGTAAAATCTGAAATACCGCTGCATACGCACTGTGTTCTGATTTATTACTTTGCATCGAATATGATCCTACTATAGTTGGCGGCGACCAGGTATATAGGCCACCACATAACAACCCTAAAAATATACTTAGATTTAAAATCCGTCATCGTATCATTAAGAATACAATATATTATTTCCTAGTTTTATTTTAAGAACTCGTCGTTAGTAATAAAAGAAAATAACGTACTTTTGCGATGTTAGATTTTTAAATCGAAGAATACTAAAAAAAACACTGTTATAAATTTTAATAATCGTTCTCTAAACCTTGGCAGTCCAAGAATTATATAAAACTTGCCTTGTTACTTTCTTTTGCAAACAAATAAAAAACAGTCAAGTTCATTAACATACTTAATATCCAAAGCTGTTTATTATTCGCATTAACAACTTTCTCTCCTCAGCTTGTATTTAGTGACATTCATTTTTTTACTATATGCGAACTGATAATCCTCATACCTACATAATTAATAATTAATAGTACCTTTCATTTTAATAATTATACCTTAATGAAACAATTAATCTTATTAATAATTACAAAGTTTTTATTAAAGCGTTTGCAAGCTTTTAAATAATACCAAAATTTTGAGATAAGTTACATACTAGTTACCGCCCCGATGATGAAAATAAAAAAGGAATTAGCAATTTCTGATCTGTATTATCCATATTAGGAAAAAAAAATTATATAACCAATTTTTTTTTTAATATTTAACCAATTTTTGTCGGCACATATTGTTAAATTAATTGAAAGTGAAGTAAAATAAAATTTCTGGGGCAAGATAAGGCACAGATAAATATGTGTACCAGAGATAACTGTTCTAATAGATCAGAGCGCTATTTAGCAGCATATATTTAGAACGTATTGTATGGTACATGTTACACGATTTAAGAATAGAAATCTTGTTCGAATCGTCAATGTGAAAGTTCCCCAGAATAAAACGAAGCGGGTTTTGAATCAAACAATTTCTCCTCCATCGATTGAAGATGCGAAAAACGTAGAAAGAAAGGGGTTGTGAAAGTGGAAGTACGCAGGCGTCAGTTTAATCAAAACGAAATATGCTGTAGGTGCAATAGCGATACCACCAAGCAAGTAATACTTTTGTCTTAGTGATTAGTTGAATTTATATTATACCAACTTCTAATTCATCATGGAAACAGAAAATATGAACATTTTTGATAAACTTGGGGTGGTGTGCACGTTTATAGTGGGGTTCCAGATTATTAGATGTATGACACGAATTTTATATAACAATTTTATTGCTCCAGCTTTACAAATCAATGGAATTAACATTAAGGACACGGGGAAATGGGCAGGTTAGTAATACACCTTTATTTTTAATACTCAAAATTTATGACTAGTTTTTGAAATATATTTTTTCTAACTGGGACTATATATTTTTTTATTTAATTCTATACATTTTTCGAACTAATATACAGGGTATTTTTCGTCATGTCTCAAATGCTCCTGTATTTATTTCTTGCCAACGAATTGTATAAGATAAAAAAAACCACCGCGTCCGTAAAACTGTTATTTTGTTTTAATTTAAAACTAGTTAAGCGGATCCATTTCGAAACTGTTTTTCAAAATATTTTAAATTCAAAGCGATTTAAACTAAGCTTCCTGTGCCTTTCTAAAATTTGCGTCTTCATAATATGAATATTTTTGAAACTCACGTAAAAAGTGGTCATGTGAAAGTTTAAAAGTAATGGTAATGATGGATAAGTATTCAAAATAAGCCGCATATCACTTTTTACACCTCAACAGAACCTCGATCATTCTTTATTCACAACAATTTAATCCTGCTTAGAATTTAAAGTACTTCGCACATAACGATTGTTAAATACTTATAATACTGCTTGGTTAAATGTATTACAAATATTATTGTAATATTCATGTCATCAAATACATAGTTATACCATTTTTCCAGCGAGATTATAAAAAAAACTCACAATCTATAATAGAAGAATATTGAAATAATGAACGCAGATTATATTTAAATAAAACAGTAATGTCGAAAATAAGGAATTGGACTTCTAACACTAAAAAAAAACATTTTTTCTGTAAGAAAATATACAATGAAAATGACAAACGGTTGTTAAACATGTTTATCACTTAATTCTTTAGTGGTTACAGAACACTAGTTTTTCTGTAATTTAATTTTCTTTTGTTATTAATTAGGTATGATTGTTGATATGGGTCAAATACGTGTCTTATGAAAGAATTATTTTGTAGATTTTTGCTTTTTAATGAGTTCATTGTTCAGTACCAATTTGAAATTAAAATTACGACGTGACTGTACAATATGTTGAAAACCTTGCACTGCACTGTACAATAACAAGCATTTTTCTTATCTAGAACATATTACAATGTCTACGTTAAGAATTAAAAACAATGTCGAACAATTCGTAATACATAAAAAAACTTTTAAATCCACGTTTTATAATTTTACTAGTAATATAGGTACTCACCTAATAAAATGGTATTTTAGAAATACATAATAGGTAAATTACATTTTCTAAAACGTAATTGAAAAAATCGTAAGGTAAATGTTAAATTGTCAAATATTGTTATTAAAAACTATTTTTTCAAGTATATACCGGGTGTAACTTTGAATGGAGGTTATATTTACACGGAGGCTACGTTTGAACCTCAGAAATACATAAATATATAAAATATGATGACTTTAAAGTAACACGTCGCAAAATCAAACAAAAGCGAAATTATTTTTTTCATTGCAGTTTCGCTCTCTGCCACTCCTTTAGTTCCAAACTTTTAAATTTCAGATATAAAAACAAATTAATGCTATTTCTTTTAATAAATCAACTTTTTATATTTTCAGTTGTAACCGGGGCAACAGATGGTATAGGAAAGGCATATGCCCAACTTCTGGCGAGCAAAGGTTTAAATATTGTCTTGATCAGTAGGAGCCAATCCAAACTCGAGGATGTTGCTAAGGAAATAGGTACATTTAATACACATACTTGTTTTTGTTAACACAGCAAGGTAATCAACAACTTTACTGCTTCACTGTGTACAGTTGGTATTTAAACACTTAGAAATTGCAAATAATGTTTTGTCAATAGATCATTTTCTAACAATAACCCAGTGGTGGCTCGTCGTATGAAGCAACTGAGGCTCTCACACCGTATATTTTAATACCTACTACTCTACTATTAACCTAAATAAACAGTTAGGTAAACTAATTTCCAATTATTAGATTCATCAAAAATCAAAATAAAAGTATAAAATAATTGTTTGAATATTGAATATCTCGTCGCTCGCCGTTTACATCGGCGTGGCATTTGATATTACTCGCTAGTCCCTACTAGTCCCCACCACAGTGAGGCCAGAAATTCTTTGCTTGTAGGCGCGTCACACTTGCCTACATATTCTACAGTTCCTCCTCCACGCGAGGCGATTAAAATAACGTGATTTAGAAGGGAAGCTGTTTGTACTTATCTTGTAGTTTCAGTTGGCGGTTAATGTACGCGCCGCATAGTACGCGGGTGGTGTCTAATGTCAGTGTGAGGGATAGTACAAAAGCTGTAAGGATAAGGACAAGGCAGGTATTAATTTAAATAAAAAACAACTTACTTACAACAAAACAAAGTAAGACTAAATTTAACGTAATTTAATAGATACTTATTACACCTACATAGGTAGTTAATAATGAAACTATCTCACAATATTGTTTCTTGATCTCTTGAAACATCTTTTTCAAGACGTAATGACGTAAACTACTGCTCTAAACAAATTATAATCACTAGTCGAAGAATTTTTGAATTAAGAAACGAAGAAAAATTTAAAAATATTTTTAATTATGCGAAAAATTTACTGTACTACCAAGTTAACGGGACAAAAGTTGCGATGAATTAGAAATATTTTCGAAATATATTTCGTTTTGGAAATTTACATAATTTAAATTTTTTTGCTTTACTAGATCCGTCAAAATTTCCCGAATATGCAAACAAATTTCCCGAAAAATCGTTTGAATGTTTATTACAAATGTATCCAAACGTTTTTGAAATAGATAGGTTAAAAAACGAACTTAATATTTTGTACAGAGACGAACAATTTCGTAATTTAGAAGTTCAAAAAACGATAGAAATATTATATAAGGAATTTAAAATGGTATATTCGGAAAGATACAAATTGTTTTACCCAGTTTTAACAATTTCTGCAACAAGTGTCTCGCTAGAAAGAAACTTTTATGTCTTAAGCGCATTAAGACTTAGAAATACGATGACACAAGAGCGCTTAAACAACTTATCAGAAAAAGAACTATAGTAGGATCGTATTCGATGCAAAGTAGAGCAAAAAGTTGTCGGTCTTTTATCAAAGGAAAATCGTGTCATCATTTTTAGGAGGCGTAAGATAAATCATTTCAAATTTAAAATGAAATTCAATGTAAAATCTGAAATACCGCTGCACACGCACTGTGTTCTGGTAGTAGCTGTAGTCGCCCAGGTGCATCGAGTGTACGAACTGGTCGGTTATACGTCAAATACTAACCTGGCGAGCTTGATCGTAGAGCAGGGAACAATAAACAGTGGCGCGTACAGAGGTGAAATGTAGTACATATGTGGAATTTAGGAAACAAATTGGATTTATAATAAATTACATTTAAAATAAATAGTTTATGAGAATAAAGTAATTTTTGTAGGAACAAGGGTGCCAGACCTGAACTGATCCCCTCGTCCCTTCATAATGTATAAAGAAATTATTCAATTTGTAAAACCCTTAAAAGCGTACTTCAATGGTTCCCTTGACAGGCAATGATTTATTACTTTGCATCGAATATGATCCTACTATACATATTGCAAAGACTTAGTGCCGATCCTTAATTTTATGGAGACATTATAAGTAAATTTGCAAATTTAAAAAACGGACGAATAAACCTGTTTTATAAAAACTTTCATTATGTTTTTAAAATATTTTATATGTAAATAGATAAGTTGGCTGGCTACCTTATGAAAATTTTGTTTTTATAATTTTTCATATTTTTTAATCTTCATAAACCAAGTAGGAACAATTTCGTTAATTATTAGGTAAACATATCACTTTGTTTTTTTACTGTTACTTAATTTTATTGTAAATACAATTTTTAAAGTTCTGATATTATTATTAATAATATATTTTTTTAATTTACGGTTATAATAGGGCTATTGGCGAAGATCTTCATAGTAAAAAATGACATGGAAATTTACTCCTATTATTTGAGAGCGGATTAATAAAATATCCAAATAGTTGCGTATTATTTTTTATAAAATCTTAATGAAAATCCTTCTCGTGAACATCAGTTTTTGTATAATGTAAATGCAACTAAAAATTTCCAGATACATTTAGTCGTTTGACCTTGATTATTTAAAAACTTTTTCCTGCGGCGTTTTTTTTTCTTTCTTGCCCACCTAGTAAAAAAGCCAAAGGCCGCAGCTATTCACGAGCCGCCACTGCAATAACCCCCAGATATCAAATCGGAAATATTGTGATTCCAAAGCATCTATCACATCTCAACAATTTCACCTCAATGATAATTTTTAAGTCACATTTTATAATTGAGTAAAAAGAAAAGTTCTTTTAGAATAAATGAGGATAATTTTTTTACGTTATTATATTTTAATTTATATAAAAAGGTTATGAATGATGTTTACAAGTTGTAACAGCGACGTTGCAACAAATTTTTATGACTATTTCGCTGCGTCAACACAAACAAACAAGAGTAACGTTTTTTTCCTTCAACGATTTCTGAACACATTACAATCCTTCAAAGGACCGTTAATTAATCAATTTATTTACACGAGAACTATTTAAATTATAAACTTCAAATTTGGTGCAGTGCAGTGCAGTGCACTTCATAGTAGCTACATGCATGTGAAACAAGGTTGGCATGATATATATCAATGATATATATCCGATATATATCATTGATATCTATCACGATATTTATTCCTTGATATATATATATCATGATATTTATAAAAATTTAAATGATTCCTACTGGTTTAAAGTTGCTAAAACAGATGGCAGCAAAACCATATGCTAATCGTTGACGAATGTGTTTATTTATGTGATTCCCCGAATTTTTCAACAAAGTAAAATTGAATGAATATTTTTATTTCATTAATTTTCCAGGTGTTAAGTCAATTCGAGCGGATGGTGTGTGTTTGTATTTCTTTTAATATTTATGAAATTTATGTTGACTTCGGTGTAAATTGGTTAGTTTTCGTAGTACCTAATATTCACGCAAATATTTTTTATTAGTTTTAGAATTGATATTTATTTTTTCGTTCTTGTTTTTGATATCTGGAATAAAAATATTTACTTAGTTTCTTAATTTTATTTCGCTACTATAATATTATACATAAACTAATTAATTAAAAAATATATATATCAAGACTTGATATATATCGGATATATATCAAGATATATATCCGATATTTGATATTTATATATCATGATATTTGCCAACCTTGATGTGAGATTTGATAGAATAGTGTTGTCGAAATTATGAGAGATGTGAATGGTTTCATCTGACTAGCGCAACTTTGCCTTTTGAGTTTTATAATAATAAATAATAATAATAATAATATTCGGCCATATGTAGAAATTAAGGTTACGCTATCATAATAAAAAATATTTTGTTAAAGGAGTGGTTAAAACATTTTTTGCTAACTTTTTATATACAAATTGTTACAGTCCCATCTTAATAAAGTAGCTATAGTACAATTTTTAAATTGTCCAAAGTTTTTATTACGGTTATTAGTTTGTTATCCTAGGATGACGAGTTTTATGACTAGGGCTGTCAGAGAGAGCCGCAATTCAATGGCGTGCCAAGCGAGTTAACTGAGACATGCGTGAGCCGCTGTCCCAGAATGCTTTTCACGTTTACGTCACGCTAGTATACTTGTTGTCTTTGTTATCGTGAGGATTCCTATCCGTTGGTGTTTATCTACATTGTAGACAATTTAATTTGTTGCTTTTTAATAAACAATGCGTAGGTACGCTTATGTCCCGCGGCTCAGTTCTGACAGCCCTATTTATGACAATACCAGCAAATACTTAAAATAAATGACTTTTTAGATACTAAAAGTGATTTTTTGTCATAACTATGTGTATTTAGCTGGATTCAATTATTAACTTTGTCTTTAAACTTTCTCGTCATATTTAAAAAACATATTGATCGATTTGCATGAGTGTAAATATCACAGCAATGTTAGAAGCATTTGTTAACAGCGAAGATCAGTAGGTGTATATACATTCAATTTTTCATAATCTCTATTTGTTAGAAACTGGAGCAAATGAATTAGTATTATCCTCTGTTGTGGTTTTTGGTTCAAAAATGGCCGCTCCAATTTGTAAAAGAAGATTATCTTCAACATTAAATAACTAATTTTCACATCCCTTCTAATTACGACGCCATTGTTAGTTTTGTTCAAATTTGTTTTAGGAAAATCGTTATTCTTGTTTTTTATTTATTTTTGGTGAAAGGAATTTCTTTATAGCTTCTCGTAACTTCGCTGTAACATTCTGCATATCGCATAATTGTCATTTTTTTCTCCAACTTTTCAGAGAAGGAGAACAACGTGGAAACCAAAATAATAGCAGCCAACTTTACGGACACAACCCAAATTTATTACGAAATAGACAAACAGTTACTAGGATTAGACATAGGAGTTCTGATCAACAACGTCGGTATGAGCTACCCATACCCAGAATATTTCCTGGACCTGAAAAACGCCAATGACTTATACAAAAACATAATAAACTGTAACATATTCTCCGTTACGAACATGTGCAAAATCGTAATGCCGGGCATGGTGGAACGGCGTCGAGGCGTTGTCGTAAACGTTTCGTCAACATCTGCACAAGTACCAAGCCCGCTTTTAACAGTATACGGCGCCTCGAAAGCCTTCGTTGATAAATTTTCGACGGACCTTTCAGCAGAATATTCAAAATACGGCATAATCGTTCAATGTTTACTGCCTGGTTACGTAGCAACCAATATGTCTAAAATCAGGACGGAGACGTGGATGGCACCCTTCCCACTTAAATATGTTAAAGAAGCGATGAAAACTATAGGCATAAGAGAAAGAACTACAGGCTATTTTCCTCATTCCGTGATGGCTGGTGTGATCCATGCTTTAGACAGCTTGTCGCCGCGACTGTCGCGATGGTTGATCATCAGGACGATGACCAATATAAGGGCCAGAGCTCTTAGAAGATCCACCCACTGATTTCTGAATGTTTTATTTTTATTTATTGCACTTATTAAAAATGGTGTGTTCTATGTTGAATTGTTATTGTTATACACGTAAGGAAATAATTTTTAATTTAGTCAAATACCTTTATAAGTCAATTGTGTTATAATTTACATTAATATAGTGTTTTATACATGTCACAATTGTCACAACTCATTTTTAAATACTGTACAAATAAAAAAAGTTTTTTAATGTCAATGTGTCTTTAATTGTCAGCACCAGGTCCGCAGGTAATTTTTTTTTCTCACTTGTAGGTCCTGGCATTCTTTTTTTTTAAGTAATACCACAAAAAATAATTTCAAACAACATGATTGCAGTAAGAATTATTTACCTAATCATTACTTGTCTAGTGATACGTACATTTTACGCATATCTTTCAAATAATAACGGTATTAGTAATATTTTCTAAGTCACAGATATAAAATTAAGCCTCACCAACAACTGTGCTTTATTTCCTTATTAATATAGTACCAATTTATCGTCTAAAGATATCGTAATTCTTATGCGAAATGTAATAGGTATGCAATAATCCTGGACCATTTGTATATCTGGTTGCATAAACTTGTTCTGAATAGTAACATTGGTATATATTTTTTTATATAATAAATAGATCCAATCTATTCTAAAAATTTGACACAAATGAAGGTTAGTTTAATGGTTCAATCTACCTTTCTATAATGGCATTATAGACCAGGACGGATCTGTTTTGAGGTGGATGTGAGAGGGGGCAAGCAAATTTTTTACAAGTAGCAGACAACTCACATAATAAAAGTGTAGATCCCTAAATCTGGGCGAGGTCCGGAACATTTTAAATTTGCAAAATTATTTAAAAATTTTGAAAAATACCTATTTTATCTGAGTTTTTACTTATATCTTGGAACCTATGCATTTTGGAAGAATATTGAAAAGGAAAAAAGTTTTAGAATTGAATTTTGCACAATATACTGCAAGTTAAAATTTTTTAAGTTTATTGCTGATGTTGCAAAATAGGAACAATGAATGAAAAAAAGGCAAAATAATCAAGTTTTTTGGATAATTTTCTTAAAATATTTTAATTGCTCCGAGGGCATTCTAATTTTGGTAAAAAAAAAACTTTAGAGTATAATAAAACAACGCACCAAATTTAATTAAAATCGGTTCGATAGTTTTCGCAAAATAATTTTTTGAAAAAAAAAAAATTTCGAATTTTCAAAATGTTGCACAGCCTCAAATAAAGCATCTAGATACTTGAAAAATTTTTCACATGGAAAAGACCACTCAACCTTTCAAATGGTTTTTGAAAAATTTAAATCGATTGATTAGGACGGTCATAGTAAATTTTTAAAGTTAACACTCTTTTTTTTATTTTTAATTAGATTACATTTATCAATTTGCAATTTAGTTTTTTTCAAAAATTATAATTTTAAAGTACTCGGAGACACTTCTTTAAAAAAAAAAGTTCCATACCGTTTATTGGTTCTCGAGATATAAGCGGTCAAAGTTTATCGGCATATTTGCATATCCATAAGTTATCGGCAACATTATCTGTCAGCGGAAAAGTTGTCGTTGTCGCTCTAAAATGGACAACTGTAGTCTCTAGCGTCATTTGCAATACGCGTGGAGAGTCACGTGGCCTCAGCAACTCCGAATACCGAAATTCGACTGTTTACAATAGTTTTTTAGTAGTTAGTGTCAAAAATGGCAGAAGTGTATTTTTAAATCATTTTTGAACTGCCCTTTTTGATTTTTTCTTTACAAAATTGTATTCGTAACCCTGGACATCCATTTTTTTTTGGGTTCTGGATCACCCTGTATATGTTAGAATGATTACCCTTCGCTGCTCTGTATTGTTTACTGTTTTTGTAGGTTTTATCAATGTTATTACAACTCTGATTCCATTCCCATTTTTCGGATCCGCTCGGTAGGACTCCTAGACATGTTCTTAGCAATTTATCGATGCTTCTATTTATAAATTCATTCATAGAACTCAGTACGTGATATAACAATAATGGGAGCAAATACCACAGGACCATAAATGTAACCGAGAATCATACTATACAAAATTAAAGGCAGAAACACTAGACCTCAGATAACAAGGTATAATATAAGATGTTTTTGTAATTTTTTGCTTTTGTACACAGTTATCGCACATTTAACTAGGACGCTGTATAAAAATATTCCTTAAATTGAACTTGGCTGCGGCTCAAACGTAATTTTTTATAAGTTATTTAAAAATAAAACGGGGTCGATGTAACTCTCGTTATATTCGGAAAAGTTTTAGAAGTCAAATGAAGGATAAGAACAATATATTGCTTATTTTGTAGGTTGACACTAACAAATGCATTATTCCAATACCAAAGTAATATGAAAATATTCCTTCTTGAATTTAAATCTGGCCTTTCGACATTTTCCCTGTTTACATAAAATGGATATAGGATATAGTGAATGCGTAATTTCCACATAACATTTAGAAGACTAGGTACTTATGTGAACTATATTCTTTTTCTTATCTTATTGACATACTAAAACATTTATTTTGAGCATTATCAATAAAAATATTCTATTTAATTATTATTATTGTAAAAGATCTAAGACTTAGATCTTTTACTTAGATTCTAAGTAATTATTAACAAACTAATTGAAATGTGATATCTACGCGACACTTGCAATATTAAGTTTCAACTAACGTTTACTCGATATTATGTTTATTGCCCGGTACTGTACTTATTCACAATAGAGATTCCGACGTTAATTTTACTAATTTATTGACGTTAAACTCGCTTTGAGAAAGACTAAAGTCTACAGTAACGTCAACTCGACTTTCTCGTTACAGACTTTTGTTCCATACCCGTATAGCTGGTTGCCTACTCCCTATCAACTAGCATATCCGACATCGATCGACGACGTGGTTATTACCTTCATTAGGAAAGATAAAATTGTATAAACCCGACCCTGTTTATCGACAACGTTCTCTGTTCGCAGCATTTTATGAAGCTATAGACCCCGTCTGGAACAACACGCCTTTGCAATGCAGAAAATGCAGTCGGTGTAGTTCGTTCGTTACCGTCTAGATGGCGGACAGGTGTAAATGGAAGCAGTAACAGCACCAACAGTCGTAACGTTTATATTAGCGTTTAATGCTACAATGTAACCAAAAGAGTGCGACACTTTAACCGCCGGATATAGGAGAGGATTACCGTTTATTAATAGTGCAATCATGCAAGCTGAATTTTATTTACCTACCAGGAAGCAGAGCCGGATCCAGAATCTACTAATGGGCGTGAATGGTAAATACCTTTTTTACCCAAATACAAAGTTGATGACTTAAATGTGCTAAGAATTTAACAGAATTGATTTTTGTGGAAGATTAATTATCGATTTATAGTTTTTCAGAAACACCAACGTTATAGTATTCTACCACTGCTATTACAAGAATCGTCACTACACAGAGAAAAAAGGAAATTAATCTTTTCATACAGTCGTTTTAAATCGACTGAGGAACTTGACTAACATGTTTAAAATTATACATGTGGTAGGGGTAGGTGAAGATTAATTTTCATTTTGGATTGCTGCAAGTAGCTTTTGGATAATTCCACTACCTTATTTCGTTCAACACATATTGCGGTAAAAATACCACAGCTCATCAACTTGTACGTATTTAACATAATATTTTATTAAATATTCAGTGCCGAACCAACTCTATTTTTATCGAGCATTTCCTATGAATCATTTGGTAAATAATTATGTAATTTTCATTATTTCCATGTTAACGTAACAACGACGGAAGGAAACTACAATGCTTGAAAAATACTTTTAATATTTTTAATTTATTTTTTATTTTTTATATACTTTATTTTTCTCCACAGAAGAGGTCACATTTCTACGTTGTCACAGTATACAGAGCGATCATTAAGTATATCCCATTAAAGAAAAAGGTTCTCCGGATTTGTGTCATAAACAGCATGATTTTTGAGATACAGTGTTGAAGTTTTTGAAAAATATAAAACGATGTCCGACCTAGGTTTTTCTCCTTAATAGTAGAAATTCACTGGGATGTATAGAAGTATATCAACCAGTGACGGGGATGCTTACACTGAAAAAATATATTTGTATCAAATGAGCAGAGATTATTCTATTCAAATGTATATACTTTCATCAAACTATGTGAAATATTTGCTGTAATCTATAATTTTTCTTAGAATTTATATTATTTGTAAATATATATAATTTAATTCAAATCTTTTATAGTTTTGAAATTTATTATCTCGGACTTTAGCTACAATATCTTTTATAGTTCATCATAAACTGCCAACATATTTGTGTCAAAACTACCAGTAAAAATATATTTAAAATATTATAATCAAACTTATGTTTTCTTGAAAGAAAATTGTAGGTCACAGAATGGCGTAGGTGGGAAGTAGCACGATGGAGCAGCCAGCACTTACGCTCTGTTTATACTATACACATCTCCTTGTGAGTAACGACACTAAAGCAGCTAGATCGTCCTAACATAATGATGAGGACCATTAATAAGTCTCAAACCGACCTATGTCTGGTTGGTTAAATATACGAACGATCCTAGCTGTTGTGTACTAGGTGTTGTGAGTTTGAAACAAAATATTTTTTATTACTGAGAAATATTTATATCCAAATATACTCTTAAAATAAGTATATACAATCATTTGACCAAAACTATTCAGTTTTGTCTTAAACGAACGATACAAAACATGTTCCTATAAAATCTATGTAGATCAAAAAATTAAGAATAGAATTCGTTTAACCGTAAGTATCAAATATTAATTTTAAATGCTGCCTATTTTGAAAGTAAGAAATTATATTTCTGGGTAGAAATTTAAAGTATTTAAATAAATAAATAATTTTCTTGAAAGAAGAAAATATGTTCTTGTCATTTGCGTGTAGAAGTTATAGTTATTTTTTAGCCTAAAATAAATTTACCACAATTGAATAAATAAAAAATAATTCAAATCACAAAAAATATATGTAGAATTTTTTTTGTTTTTTCATTTTTCAAATAGATATTTTTATATGGGGAAAAATCAAGTCGATACCTAATATTAACTGTGATAAATAATTTCTAATTATATCTGTCTTCGACCCGACTGCTCAATGCGCTATTAACCATTGTCAGGTTATTTGTGGCATAGAGTATAGTTTTTGTTTATTTACTGCTATTTTTGCACTGATGAAAAAAATGATTTAAAGACAACTTTGCGCCAAAACTCAGTATCAAAAGATACTACATTAAACATATTTTTTTTCTCTTCTGAACAATTGGGGCTTATTTCCTTCTTACATCAGGGTCTACAATAATAATTAGCGTTTTGAAAAATCAAACTTTTTTCGTTATTAAAATCAGTAATGACATTCCTTTCTTAATTACGTTTGATATTTTGAATTTATCTGTTTTAGTCTCCTTCCATAGCTAGAGACATCATATTATTGATGCCAGGTATATGGGTTAGTCGCTAACGAATTGTATGACGTCACAACATGGCTTCCGTGCATTTTCCGTTAATTGTTTTGAGGGAGAAATTGTTGAAAAAAAAAAATCTCATTTGTACAAGTTAACTAACTATGAATATGAATTTAAAAATAAATGAGCCCATTGTTTTCAGACTCGGCGAATTTTTACCTTTAATTCGATTAGTTCAGTCACCAGTCAACCATCAATCGACCTTGAAAACCAAGCCGTCTAGGATGTTGACTTTTTTTTCCTTAAAATAATCTCGAATCATCAGTTTGCTATCCAGATATACTCAAAGACCGCCCTGTATAATTTTCTAAGGTTCCCTGAATAATTTAGTTTAGAGCCGTTGATTAAAATAGATATTCCTCATTCTTCTTTTTCTTCATTTCCATATAGCGATGAATAATAACGATAATTAACAGGAAAAATGACTATTACGACACGATAATGGGATAAATAATTGATCGTAGAAGATAATTATTTACGAGTAAACAATAATACAACTAAAATCCGCACAAGGTTCTTAGAGGTACATGAAATCATGAATCGTCATCTGAAAACTAAAAGCTTAGTAGCTGACGTAATATGTTTACCTAATAATAATTTATAACTCCCGTATTTTTTTTATAAAATCTTAGAAACAATAAGCGTATAAAAAAACTTTACATTACAGTAAATAGCCATGATTCACCTTACGGTACGTTAAAAAATACTTGGTCAATTTCGAATAATTTGTAATAATTATATAAAATACCGTTTGCTCCCAAGAATGGTACAAATTAACTTATTCTGTCTTTCCACTCTCCATGTGTACAGTAATTTCTTCTCCACGTGATTTCTCTAGATTACAATTTAAAATATTACATAAACAGTCGGCTTGCCGGTAAGGTCAGCTTGAGAAATTTGCTACAACGTGCCTGGTTACATAGGAAGTATTATAAAAATAAAAATAACAAGTGGATTCAATTAACGATTGACAAGGAAGAGAAAAAACGATTTTCATCAAGTCTTGGGTAACTCATTTCCCCAGAATATTAGTAATTGAATTCTCAAAGGCATTTTCCTGATATCTTTGGCAACAAAGTGTTTTTTTTTAACGAAAATCAATCAAACAAAACCATCATTCATTTAGCACTTTGACTTATAATTTATTGCGCTACGGAAAGTTTTTAGGAATCCGCATGACACGCTGTACAGAGGGTTGAAAAACCCCATGAAAATAACGCGTTCTCGGAAGAGAAACGAGCGAAAATGACTTATCGGAAAATCTTGGAACCATGTATATCATTTATTTGGTAACCGGGGCTATGTTTAGAACATTACCTAACGAAAAAATATAATGACCTTTCAAAAACTGGTTCACTGAACAGTTTTTAGAACCGAGAATATAACAGGCGGCGATTTATTTTAGTTTTTTTGAGAAATGAAATATTTAAAACTCTTAATTAAAAATAAAAAACAATAGAATTGGCCCAGTGCCCTGACTTGAAACATGTGGAAATCGTTTTATTAGCGCTACCGACAAAACGAAGCGCCACTGAAAAATCATAATAGAAACGAAAATCGTCATTTCATTTTTGTTAATGAAATATAACTGTGCACATTTATACTTACCTAAGTAACACTTTTTTCTGAGTTTTAATTTAAAACTTGATAACTTTTATAATCAACGTAATTAAAGACGATGTTAATTCTTACAAAGTATAAAACGTATTTTTTTTCAAATTGCTTCATTTATACACAAAATAGATAATTTTACCATTTAAAAGGTTATTAAAAACATTAAATACATTTATCTTTAATATTAAATACATAGTTTAATTTAAAAAAGCTGCAAACAAAAAGTTATGATCACTTTTCTAATCAATTAAACCATTTGGGGCTTAGGATTTTGGTGATTTTTCTGCCAAATGTATATCAAATTTTTTTTTTTTAAAAAATTCACTTTACTGGAACCAAAATTACATACAATATTAATTATATCAAATATATAACTTTATCCTCTTCCTAATAATATTTTTGAAAAAGTGTCATAGGAACTTTATTCCTACACTAAGAAAAATGTGTGTAAAATTTTCTTCTGTACTGAAAAAATATATATTTGGATTAAATGAGCAGATAGTTTTGAATGGAATTATTTGCCGTAAACGTTATTTTATTCTATTCAAATTGTATACTTTCGTCAAACTATTGAAATATTTGCTGTAATCTATAATTTTTCTTAGAATTTATATTATTTGTAAATATAATATAATTCAAATCTTTTCTAGTTTGAAATTTATTATCTCAGACCTTAGCTACAATATCTCTTACAGATTTGTTTCAAAACTACCAGTTCCTTAAAATTTATATATTTAAAATTTAGTATTAATGTAGGAATTATTCAAGATAAATGTAGCATATTATAATCAAACTTATGTTTTCTTGAAAGAAAATTGTAGCAGATCACAGAATGGCGTAGGTGGGAAGTAACACGATAGATGGAGATACTTACGCTCTGTGTATACACTCCTTGTGAGTAACGACACTAAAGCAGCTAGATCCTTCTAACGACATAATGATGAGGACCATCAATAGTCCCAAGCCGACCTATGTCTGGTTGGTTAAACTTACGGACGATCCTAGCTGTTGTGAGTTTGAAACAAATATATTTTTTTAATACTGAGAAATATTTATATCCAATTATCCAAATATATTCTTAAAATAAAAGTATATGCATATGCAATCATTTGACCAAAACTATTCAAATTTGTATTAAACAAACAATACATTAATATACAATACAAAACATGTTTCTATAAAACTATGTAGATTATAAAATTAAGAATAGGATTCGTTTAAACCCTAAGTATAAAATATTTATTTTAAATGTTGCCTATTTTTAAAGTAAGAAATTATATTTCTGGGTAGAAATTTATTGTATTTAAATAAATAAATAATTTTCTTGAAAGATGAAAATATTGTCTTGCGTATACATATATAAAAGTGCGATACCTTAAAATCAAATGTACATTTGAATCGAGAAATTTTTTTGCGTGTAGACGTAATTGGAATAACAATTTAACATCCTGTACAAAATTGGGTAGTTATTAGACAAAAATGCATATTTTTACACAAATGACTGAGCAATCTTTAAAATAAATTGCTGTATTTTTAACAATTTGTAAGAAATTTTAAATGGAAGATATTTTTAGACAAATTTATGAATTTAAATATTTAATTTGTTAAAAATAATTTACAATGTCTCATTAAATGTGATCAGTTTTCCGAGCTTATATTTTTGACAATTGTATAATTTTGTTCTTACAATTTGTGCATTTAATAAGTATTTTTATCTTTATTTAATAAAAATTTACTCCAAAATTGGAGTTAGAGAGTAGTTATGGCTTTTATTATACAAGGTGTCACAGAAATAAGTTTCAAACACGTATTTAACACATCAACAAACAAGTTTTGCTAAAAATCTTCTCACATTTTTGGCGTTTATTTTCACGGCAACCAAAGTACTATGATTTTTCGGGTTGGCTTGGTCGCCACGATGCACTTAGCCTTAGCTGGCCTTGTTGTTCTCGGACTAGGCTCTGCGGGGTACTCTTGTTGTCGGTTCCAAGGCCGCTAGTGGGGGCCTTT